CACATCAAACAATTTTTTCTCTTTTTTCTTCTAATTTCTTCCTAATCTTTTTTTTTTTTTTTTTTTTTTTTGGAAGGGGGTTTTTTTTTTACCCTGGTTGGAGTACAGTGGCGTAATCTTGACTCACTGCCACCCCCACCTCCACCTCCTGGGCTCAAGCGATCCCCCCACCTCAACCTCCCAAGTAGCTGGGACTACAGGCACATGCCACCACAACTGGCTAATTTTTTGTGTTTTTGGTAGAGATGGGGTTTCACCATGTTGTCCAGGCCGGTCTGGAACTCCTGAGCTCAAGAGATCTGCCTACCTGGGCCTCCCAAAGTGCTGAGATTACAGGCAGGAGCCAATGCACTCAGCCCACACTGAACAATTTAAATATGCCCTGAAAGTTTAATGGGCTTTCAAAGCTGTGTCTTTGAAAATGCCATTTACCTTGAAACCCAGAAACGCCATTCTTTCCTATTAACTTCTATTTATTTTTCAAGATCCAGATGGAAAGCCACATTTCATGATCCAGCTAGGAAGTTAGTTTTGTAATAACCTAACCTGGGTTAGCCTAACTGACTCCATCTTAGCTGCAAACCTGACAAGCTGTCTGGAGCCACTCCCTCCCAGGGCTCATCCTTACTGGGTCATGCTGCTGCACTCATTAAAAGTGGTTTACACTGTTCACAGCACCTGTAACCACTGTAACCGCATCCTGCTTGGCAAGTCTATCTGCCATTGTGAATACCTTCCTTGGTGATTGATTGTATGGGAAGTCCGCCCTGCTACCCCACTTAGTGATTGTACGGAAATACCCTTAGCAATCAACAATCCTAGAAACCTCCTGCCCCTTGGTTACCAGCCTCTTCCTATTAACTTGCTTGTTCTGCTTCTGTAAAATTCTGCTTCAACTAGGCTGCCACTCCCCTACCTAAATCAAGGTATAAAGGGAAAACAAGCCAAGAGATTTTGAGCATTAGCTGACTCTTGGTTGCCGACTGAATAAAGGGCTCATAATTTGAACTCAGAGTGTGGTGTTTCCTTACAGTTTCTCCCTTCTTTGTCATCTCACGGCACTTGGTGATAAACAGTATAGGCTCTGGAACAGAATGCCTAGGTTTGCTGTAGCTCTGACACTAGCTCTGTAACCTCAGGCAAGTCATATAACTTCTGGATCCCTCAGTTTCTTCACTTATAAAATGGAAGTAACAATAACTCCTATGTCATAGGAATGTTGTGAGGGGTCAATAAGAAAACGAAAGGCTTAGAACAGTGCCTACTAAATACACAGACAGTGCTGTAGGGGAATGCTAACAATTAGAATGACATCTCTGTGGCAATTACCTTTTTCCAAATCTCTTCCTTTGTGGATTCTGAGCACACACTAAGTCCAACTGTTCTCTGCAAATCCAGCTAGTCACACTAAGTGTAGCAATACAAGCATTTGTTGAATGTGTGAACTGGCAAGGCTCTGTACTGTCGTGTTTCCCCATCAAAGTGATTTCCCATGAAAGTGGGAGCTGTCCAGAGAAAAGAGATTGTCTCTTCATTCACATCTTACTGAAAGGACTGGGTAGGAAGCACAAAGAGAGAGCAGGAGAGAAAGACAGTAAGAGGATTAGAGACTGGATTTCCTTTTTTCCTTCTGTGTTAGTGCTAAATCAACCCCTTGCATAGAGAAAGGGTCTCAGAAGGGACCTAACAAAAGTAAGGCTCTTCCGAATAAGCCTCTCCAGTTTTTTTTTCTCCCTGCATTGAATTAACTCCCTGCCAGTTAAGCCGGAAGCTCTGTCTAAAATATGACCTAAACTCCTGGAGTCGTAACCAGGGGCCTGACTTATCCTCACCACTCCTCTGAAAAGCGGCCTCTATTGCAGGCCTCTAAGCCAAGTCTATTAACTTTCTCACTCTTACCTGATGCCTCTGTAGGTAGCCGAAGTCTGCGGATGAGACAGCGACCCGGCAGCCAAGTCCCGTGAGAATCCAGCCACCGGCGGCCGGAGTACATGCGAAGAAACCTCTGAGCTTGAGCTAATCCCCGTACTGAGATGACACAGCAGCAGGTGCGGGTCTGGACTGCAGTAGAGTCTCGAGTGGAGACACGCCGGGCATCGGTAGCCAAAGTCTGGGCGAGAAGCTGGCCCTCAGCGGCTGGGCAGGTAGGAGTTAGGTGGGAGTCAGGAGCGGCCTGCTGAGGGGCCCGCTCAGGTCGATGCCGGTAGTGGAAACAGAGGAAGCCACCGCCGCGCTCTTCTCGGAACTGGCTAAAGTAGCTCCGTAAATGGGCTGAGCGCAACACGGAGGGGATACCGCTCACTACCAGGTAAACTGTCGTCTCCTCCTCCGCCTCGCCGGGCAACGCCATCTTGGATTGTCACATGATCTGCTGGAAGCAAGTCTCGCGAGAACAATGCGAGCAACGCTCTATCGTCTGTGTTTCGAGATTGTGAAAATTGTAACTAGTCCGTTGGGGTTGAGGTTGTAGAACCTGGAGCTAGAAGATCCGAAGTCGTCCCTGTTCCTTTCCCGCAGAGGGAAGCCGGGGATGATGGAAAAACTCACCTGGAAAATGGGGTTATAGAGTTCTTTCATTAAGCGCTCATGAAAACCAAAGCAGCAGCCTGCGGGAGGGGTCGTTTTTGTGATATTTAGTTGTGGATCTTGCACACCTAATCTCGGCCTTCCTCAGCTCCGAACATTTTTGTTGTTCTTCCATCTATGTTTCCAAAACGTGTTGATGAAGTCCCACAAATCGGTAAGGAAAAGATAACCCAGTAGAAAAATGGGCCACAGATACTTCACAAGAGAGGAAACACGCAGGTCTAACTTACAATGAAAGTGCTATAGTTGCTAAAGGCTTACGTTAAAGATGTGCAACTCAGTAATAAAGGAAATGCAGCGAGACCCACTTTACATCCACCACGTTGCAAACTTTTAAACCCTTGAGTCAGCCGGGCGTGGTGGCTCACGCCTGTAATCCCAGAAATTTGGGAGGCTGAGGTGGGCGGATCACCTGAGCTCGGGAGTTCGAGACTAGCCTGACCAATATGGAGAAACCCTGTCTCTACTAGAAATACAAAAAAAAAAAAGCTGGGCTTGGTGGTGCACACTTATAATCTCAGCTACTCGGGAGGCTGAGGCAGGAGAATCACTTGAACCCGGGAGGCAGAGGTTGCGGTGAGTCGAGATTGTGCCATTGCACTCTAGTCTGGGCAATAAGAGCGAAACTCAGTCTCAAACAAATAAATAAAATCTCTCCTTACCAAATCTGGATTTGCTTTTTATTTCACAGTATATATGAATATTCATAGCTACAGTCTTTGGAAGAGCAAAACACTGGCATTTTGTACTAATAATCTCAGGCAAAGCTAGTCAGAAAACACAGAATCGCTTCATTTATGCAAAGATCCAAAAATTCGAACTAAAAAATATTCCTAGGACTACGTAAATAAATATGCTTTGAAATCAGAAGGAAAAGCAAATAAATGATTAACCTAAAATTCAGGGTAGTTGTTACCTTTGGAGGAAAATGATAGCTTTAGAAAGGGACTTTAAAGTTGATGGTAATATGACCTATGAAACAATAATACAGTTCATTCTACTGTTACTCTTTATACTTTACATATATTTTATGAATATTATTTTGTTTTACTCAGTATTTAAAATGTAAAAATCAGCTGGGCACAGTGGGTCACGCCCATAATCCCACCACTTTGGGAGGCTGAGGCAGGAGAATCACTTGAATCTGGGAGGCAGAGGTTGCAGTGAGCCAAGATCATGCCACTGTACTCCAGCCTGGGTGTCAGAGTAAGACTCTGTCTTAAAAAAAAGAAAAATTCTTCTAATGAGTGGGAAACTGCAGATAGGACAGTTATGTCTAGGTTTAAACCCACACCATCTGGATTTTACTTATTTTTTATTTTATTACATACTTGTTCTTGGCCAGGCTGATCTTGAACTCCTGGCCTCAAGTGATCCACCTGCCTCCTTATTACAGACACATTTTTTAGATATACTGTCTCACTGTGTCAACCAGATTGGAGTCCAATGTCACAATCATTGCTAACTGCAGCCTTGAACTCCTGGCGTCAAGCCATCCTCCTACCTCAGCCTCCCCAGTAGCTGGGATAACGGACTTGAAACACTGCGCCTGGCTCACCCCTGACTTACAAGTACAGTGTTTAAAAGCATGGGCCCTGAAGACAGACCATCTAAGCTCAAATCCTGACTTTGCTACTTATTGACTGTATAACCTCCAGCACTTTACTTAACCTCTCTGTACCTCTATTCTTCAGGAGAGTGAGAGATAACCTCCAACCCACCTTAGCTCTCTTTTTTTTTTGAGACGAAGTCTCGCTCTGTCACCCAGGCTGGAGTACACTGGCACAATCTCGGCTCACTGCAACCTCTACCTCTTGAATTCAAGTGATTCTTCTGCCTCAGCCTCTCAAGTAGTTGGGACTACAGCTGCACGCCACACCCGGCTAATTTTTGTATTTTTAAGTAGAGACAGGGTTTCACCTTTTTGGCCAGGCGAGTGTCAAACTCCTGACCTTGTGATCTGCCCGCCTCAACCTCCCAAAGTGCTGGGATTACAGGTGTGAGCCACCGTGCCTGGCCCCTCTTAGTTCTTATGTGGATTGTTCCACTGGATATAGAAACTAAGTTGACACGTGGCAAATTAACAAAAGAAAATCATACATTTTTTCTTTTTTTTTTTCTTTTTTTGAGATGGAGTTTCGCTCTTGTTACCCAGGCTGGAGTGCAATGGCGCGATCTCGGCTCACCGCAACCTCCGCCTCCCGGGTTCAGGCAATTCTCCTGCCCCAGCCTCCTGAGTCGCTGGGATTACAGGTACACGCCACCATGCCCAGCTAATTTTTTGTATTTTTAGTAGAGACGGGGTTTCACCATGTTGACCAGGATGGTCTCGATCTCTTGACCTCGTGATCCACCCGCCTTGGCCTCCCACAGTGCTGGGATTACAGGCTTGAGCCACCGCGCCAGGCCTCATACATTTTTTTTTTTTTTTGAGATGGAGTCTTGCTGTCACCAGGCTGTAGTGCAGTGGCGCAATCTCGGCTCACTGCAACCTCTACCTCCTGGGTTCAAGCGATTCTTCTGCCTCAGCCTCCCGGGTAACTGGGACTACAGGCGCCCACCACGCCCAGCTAATTTTTCTATTTTTAGTGGAGACGGGGTTTCACCATGTTGGCCAGGATGGTCTTGATCTCTTAACCTTGTGATCCGCTCGCCTCAGCCTCCCAAAGTGCTGGAATTACAGGCGTGAGCCACTGCGCCTGGCCACATTATTTTTATGTAATTTTTTTTTTTTTGAGACAGAGTCTTGCTTTGTCACCCAGACAGAGCTCACCTTAACTGCAAACTCTACCTCCTGGATTCAAGTGATTCTCCTGCCTCAGCCTCCTGAGTAGCTGGGATTATGGGTGTGCACCACCATGCCCAGCTAATTTTTGTATTTTTAGTAGAGACAGTGTTTCACCATGTTGGCCAGGCTGGACTTAAACTCCTGACTTTGGGTGATCCGCCCACCTCGGCTTCCCAAAATGCTGGAATTACAGGCATGAGCCACTGCGCCTGGCCTATTATTCTATAATATTTTAACATTATATAATATTTTATTAGTGG